TGTTACAGCTTTGGGACTCACATTTAGCTCTATGTTTTATGTCAGTCAATTTCTGGGCTCTCTTATGTTCAACTGACTTGTCTTCCCCCCCCCCCCCCCCCCCCCCCCCCATACCACACTGTCTTGATTACTCTAGCTTTATAGTAAGTCTTAAAGTCATGTAGTGTCAGTTCTCTGACTTTGTTCTTCTACATCTATATTGAATTGGCTATTCTTGGTCTGTTGCCTTTCCATATAAACTTCAGAATCAGTTTTTTCAATATCCACAAAATAACTTCCTGGGATTTTGATTGGGATGGTGTTGAATCTATAGGGAAGTTTGTGAAAAACTGATATATTGATGATACCGAGTTTTTCTATCCATGAACTTGGAATATCTCTCCATTTATTTACTTGTTCTTTGATTTCTTTCATTAAAGTGTATAGTTTTCTTCATATAGATTTTATATATATTCCACTAGATTTATATATGAGTTTTTCATTTTGGGGGTGATAATGTAGATGATAATATGTTTTTTAGTTTAAACTCCATTGGTTCATTGCTGTTATACAGGAAAGCAATTGACTTTTGTTCATTAATCTTTCATATTGCAATCTTGCCATAATCACTTATTAGTTCAAGCGATTTTTTATTGATTTTTTTCTGATTTTCTACATAGACAATCTTATCATCTGTGAACAAAATTTTAGTTCTTTCTTCCCAATCTGTATTTATTTTATTTTATTTTATTTTATTTTATTTTATTTTATTTTATCCTACTACATTGGCTAGGCCTTCTAGTACAATGTTTAAAAGAACTGTTGACAGGGAACATCCTTGCCTTGTTTCTGATTTTAGTGGGAAAGCTTTTAGTTTCTCACCATTAATTATGATATCTGTAGGTTTTGTAGATGTTCTTTCTAAAGATGGGCACCTGAGTGGCACAGTCAGGGAGCATCTGACTTCGGCTCAGGTCATGATCTCACAGTTTGTGAGTTCAAGCTCTGCATCGGGCTCTATGCTGACAGCTCAGAGCCTGGAGTCTGCTTTGGATTCTGTGTCTCCCCTCTCAATCTGCTTCCCCCCTCTACTCATGCTCTGTCTCTGTCTCAAAAAATAAATAAATGTTAAAAAAATTAAATATATAAAGTTGAAGAAGTTCCCCTCTATTCCTAGTTTGCTAACAGTTTTTAAAATAAATAGGTATAGGATTTTGTCAAATATTTTTCTGCATCCATTGATATGATAATGTGACTTTTGTTTTACAGCCTGGTGATGTGATGGATTACACTAATTGATTTTCGAATGTTGAACCAGCCTTGTATAACTGGGATAAGTCCCATTTGGTTGTGGTGTATAATTCTTTTTTACATTGTTGGATTCAATTTATTATTTTACTGAAGATTTTGCTATTTTGTTTGTGAGAGCCATTGGTCGTTAGTTTTCTTGCAACATCTTTGATTTTGGTATGAGGGTAATGCTGGCCTCAGAATGAGACAGGAAGTATTCCCTCTGCTTCTGTCTTCTGGAAGAAATTGTAGAGAACTGGCATACTTTCTTCTTTATATGTGTGGTAGAATTCACCAGTGAACCAATGTGGACCTGGTGCTTTCTGTTTGGAAAAGTTATGAATTTTGTTTCAATTTCTTTATTAATAGCTGTAGGCCTATTCAGATAGTCTATTTCTTCTTGTGTGTGTTTTGGCTGATTATATCTTTAAAGGAATTGGTCTATTTCATCTAGGTCATCAAATGTGTGGATATAGAGTTGTTCATAATATTCTTTTATTATCCTTTTAATGTCCCTGGCATCTGTAGTGATGCCTCCTCTTTTATTTGTGATGTTAGTAATTTGTGTCTTCTCTCTTTTTTTATTTTTAATTTAAAAAAATTTTAATGATTATTTATTTTTGAGAGACAGAGCATGAGTGGAGGAAAAGCAGTGAGAGAGGAGACACAGAATCCAAAACAAGTTCCAGGCCCTGAACTGTCAGCACAGAGCCTGGTGTGGGGCTTGAACTCACAAACTGTGAGATCATGACCTGAGCCAAAGTCAGACACTTAAATGACTGAGCCACCCAGGTGCCCCATGTCTTCTCTCTTTTTTTAGTGAGCCTGGCTACAAACTTATCAATTTCATTGATCTTTTCAAAGAACCAGGTTTTGGTTTTCTTGATTTTCTTTATGGAGTTCCTGTTTTCAATTTTATTGATTTCTGCTCTAATTTTTTTTTTTTTAATTTTTTTTTTCAACGTTTATTTATTTTTGGGACAGAGAGAGACAGAGCATGAACAGGGGAGGGGCAGAGAGAGAGGGAGACACAGAATCGGAAACAGGCTCCAGGCTCTGAGCCATCAGCCCAGAGCCCGACGCGGGGCTCGAACTCACGGACCGCGAGATCGTGACCTGGCTGAAGTCGGACGCTTAACCGACTGCGCCACCCAGGCGCCCCTCTGCTCTAATTATTATTATTTATTTTCTTCTGCTTACTTCGGATTTAATTTTCTCTTCTAATACTTAGATTGCTGGTTTTATTTTTTTTAATATTTATTTATTTTTTAGAGAGAGAGAGAGAGAGACAAAGTGTGAGCAGGGAATGAGCAGAGAGAGGGTGACATAGAATCTGAAGCAGGCTCCAGCCTCCCAGCTGTCAGCACAGAGCCTGATGTGGGGCTCGAACTCATGAACCATGAGATCATGACATGAGCTGAAGTCGGACGCTCAACCTACTGAGCCACCCAGGCATCCCAGAGATTGCTGATTTTAGATTACCATTTTCATTTAGTTTAAAATGTTTTAAGATTCCTCTTGAGATTTCTTCTTTGACCCACATGTTATTTAGACATGTGTTGTTTAATCTCTAAATATTTTGGGATTTTCCAGCTATCCTTCTGTTATTGGTTTCTAGTTTAATTTCATTGTGGACCAAGAGAAGACATTATATGATTTCTATTCTTTTAAATTTGTTAAGGTGAGTTTTTTGGCCATATGTGGTCTATCTTAGTGAACATTTCATGTGAGCTTGAGAAGAATGTGTAATTTGCTATTGATGGATTAACTAGCCTATAGATATCAATTATATCCTGTTGATTGACGGTACTATCAAGTTCAACTTTGTCCTTACTGATTTTCTGTCTCTTGGATTTGTCCATTTCTTTTCTTTTTTTTAAAAATTTTTTTTTAATGTTTATTTATTTTTGAGAGAGAGAGAGAGAGAGAGGGAGAGGGAATGTGGGCAGGGAAGGGCAGAGAGAGATGGAGACACAGAATCCAAAACAGGCTCCAGGCTCTGAGCTATCAACATAGAGCCTGACACGGGACTCAAACCCATGAGCTGTGAAATCATGACCTGAGCCAAGGTTGACGCTTAACTAACTGATCCACCCAGGCACCCCTATCCATTTCTGATAGAGGGATGTTACATTCTCCAACTGTATAATAGCGTCATCTATTTCTCTTTGCAATTCTATCAGGTTTTTTTGCTCATGTATTTTGACGCTCTGTTGTTAGGTGCATACACATTAAGGACTGTTATGTCTTTTTAGAGTACTACTCCGTTACCATAATGTAATGTCACTTTTTTTAATCCTTGAAAACTTTCCTGGTTCTGAAGTCTGCTCTGGGACATTAATATAGCTATTCCTGTTCTCTTTTGATTAGTATTTGGACAGTATATCTTTGTCCATCCTTTTACTTTCAATTTACCTGTGCCTTTATATTTAAAGTGGGTTTCTTTTTCTTTCTTTCTTTTAAAAAGTGGGTTTCTTGGGGAGCCTGGGTGGCTCAGTCAGTTGAGCGTCTGATTTTGGCTCAGGTCATGATCTCGCGGCTTGTGGGTTTGAGCCCCGCGTTGGGCTCTGTGCTGACAGCTCAGAGCCTGGAGCCTGTTTCAGATTCTGTGTCTCCCTCTTTCTCTGACCCTCCCCTGTTCATGCTCTCTCTCTGTCTCAAAAATAAATAAATGTTAAAAAAAATTAAAAAAAAATAAATAAAAAATAAAAATAAAAATAAAAAGTGGGTTTCTTGTAGTCAACATACAGTTGGATCTTGTTTTTTGATCTTCTCTGACAATCTCTGTATTTTAATTGGTATATTTGGTCCTTTGACTAATTATTATCATTATATATTTGATATAAGAAAATTATTTTGATAGTATTATAATAATACCTATCTCTCCTCAGGGAAGAGCCTGAGGCCCCCTAACCCATTTCCTCCAGGAACACATTTAGAGGTTATCTTATTGCCTATCATCTCTTAGGGTAGCCCTGATTGAGGCCCGTAAGTAAGAAAGGGACCAAGGCATCCAAATAGGAATTCATGCTGATGTAAAGGTGTGTTGGGTCTAGGCTGGTCACCTAAGAAGGGCCTAAAGCTTGTTCCAAAGGGGCTAGTTCTAGGGTAGTTTGTGGCTGAAGCCATTCATTTCTCTGGAACTGACTAACCTGGCACAGTTTCACGTTTTGGGATTCAGAGCTGAGCATATGAGGATGAACTAATAGAGCAACTCTGAAATCCTGGCTAAGGATAACAGAAGCCCATGGAGGAGATGGACTAACAAGAGTGTTACCTAAGTAATGGGTCAGCATTCCATGGCAAAGTGGCTGTGACTGTGGACTGATTAGATGTACCTATATGTGCCCATTCACTGTGCTTTGAAGTATATCAGACTAGTCTGGGCTGAGTAAGCCCCTGATATTCTTGGACAATCAAGGGCAGGGGGAGGGGGAGGGGGAGGGGGAAAAGCCTTTAAGGAGGAAGAAACTGGACTTCCTGCTAATAAAGGCATGTGTGGTCTTGAGCAATGAATTTACACCTTGGACCTGTCAAATGTCACGTGCGTCATACTTTTAAAAAAGACCAGCCATATTTCACCCCCTGAGAACCTGTAGTAATTGTTTTAATTGATTTAGGCATTAAGAAAACATTAAGGAAGCACCAGAGGAGCTGGATCACGGGATGGAAGGAATTTTGAGCAAAGGAAACAGGAAGGGAGGGGTGATGTTATCGTTCTCTCTACTTACGAGGCTGATATGCATTCCAGTGTGTGTACTGCACCGGCTCAGACTTCTGACCCTCTGCTGTCTTCCAAGTGTATTCTCCTGTGCCATTTTGATCCTGAAGAGCTATCCAGAAATAACTGCCCTTCATTTTTACCACACTACTGATCAAACTGGTAATAAAAGCCTGTTCAAACCTTAAAAACAGAAAAAGGAAATGGTTATAGTAAGTTCCTGGGCAATAAAAAATTGTCATTAAAGCATAATGAGTTGCACAGAATGGCACCAGAATAAGCACTTCTGATGAATTCTTCAGAACATGGAGCAGAAAAATACTCATAGACCCTGAGCATTACTAATACATGCTAAAGGTCACTGCAATGCTCAGAATTAGATGAATGAGGAGAATTTGAGTCTCAAAGACAAGGCTTAATTCTTTCAAGGAATAGAGTCCAGCTCCAGTTTCAGAGTATATGTGGTAAAGCCCATAAAGTTAGCAATGTATTTCTTGGCACAGCAAGTGCCCTGTTTTGTAATTAGGCCACACAGCACGTACCTTGCTTTAATGTGCGTGCAGGGGGGAACTGGCAGTGAGGGGAAGAAATGAGTGTCTGCCAACATGGAGTTGACATGTACCGCACTCCCCTCCCCCGCCACACTTGCCTAGTGAGAATGGAACAGAGATTGGAGTAGCAATTTTATGTATCCCAAATCAGTTTGTTCATAAGCACATGGAGTCCGTGGCTCATTCAAATGTGTTCAGATGGGCATGTTCACTGAAGATAGATTTAAAACCCTAGGAACTAATCCAAGGATGTACACCCACCAATATTTTCCCCACACAGCTGAATGAATTAGTGTTCAGTGATTGGTGGCAGTGCTCCTTCCCCAACATGAATGCATCAAAAGCGGAATCTGGAAAATTTGTGTATATGCTTCCACATGAATACCTAATAGAAAAACGTGAGTATTAAAATTTAACTAGCGTTGAAATTTTAAGCTAAGCTTGAAAAATTTATTTTCAATACACATGAAGTTTTGAAGAAACACATTTCAAACAGTGATGACTTTTGGCCAGAACTGCTGAGTCAATGAGAAAGGGAAGGCCTGATGAAATCATCCAGAAAACCTAAAAAGAAAGCAAATTAAACTTTTTCATCCAGTTCTGGAAGTTTTTCATTACCATGCATCTTTAAGTTGCTAAAGGAAACAAAAGCAATGGGGTCATTCAAGAGTAGAAAAGCTTCAAGGGAAATGGGGGGAGACGTACAATTTTTAACTGCCTTATAAACATCACTAGCAATATTTAGTAATCTTAGGCATCTATGATACTCATCTTTGCAGGACATATAGATTTTTATTATGCTTTACTAACTATTTTCTGTAGGTGCTCTATTAATAATCTATATAGCACACATCTAAAACTAGAAAAGTTCTTTTTTAACCAGATTGCAGTGGCAGAATTTTATGTAAATGTAAAAAAATGTAAATGTAAAATGTTTTAAATGTAAAAAAACCTCCTTCAAAAGGACCGTACGTAAAACTAAACATTGTCTAGATGCTATTGTAATTTTTTATGCTTCCAATGGTTCATACTCTCATAATTTAGAATCTGCTTTTCCTTCTCCCCTCGGAGACAGAGGAGCATTGTTATCATGCCCAGCTGGTGCCTTAAACTGCTGTCCTAGGAGGCTAGCATGGCATTGCATCGTTCAGGCTATGGCCCAACTACTATTCACTGTGCTGGTTCTAAACCCAAGGGACATTGCTGGTTCCTCCATGACTTTGTACTATGGCATTTATTGGATAATGGAGACATATAACATTGTCTGTAAACTTGGCCACTGGTATCATTATTCATGACAGCATTTTCCTTTTGTTCCCTGTTGGTTTTGGATTTATTTAGTCCACTCTGATTTGCTATTTTATCACTATGATTGCTTAAAACAATAGAAACCCTGTGTTTTTTACATTGGCAAGTATCTTTTAAGTAGTTGCATATAATACTCATACATTAGATCCTAAAACCTTCAAATCAGAACTCTAGTTCTCTTGGTACTGTTTAGAAGATAGCATTGTTAATATAGAAATTCAGCAAATATGTCTTTCTTTTAAATTATGTGCTCTAAGAACTTAACTCTGGATCACAGCATGCAGCCATTTCAGTGTCTGTTTCTAACCGATAAAGAAACAAGAGGATATTTTATACTTGTTACCACTCACTATTTGGTTCCAAACACTTAAAAGGGTTGTGAAAACTCTAGCTTACAGTAATAGAGCAGATGATCTTTTAAAGTCTTTTTTGGCCTTGTGTTTAGAATTCTGCATTTACGAATATTCCAGAGTTTTTTATATCTGGCCTTTTTGCCTGGTTTCACTAGATTATTTAATTCAAATGTTATGACTTAAGAACAAAAAGTACAGATTTTTAGTTTATTATTTGAACCAGGATAACATATTATATCCAAAGAGTTTAGTAAAGTAAATATTGTTGTTTTTTAGAAAAGCAAATGATAAAACACTTTGCGTTTGTGTAACTACTTATAAAATCAAATTTTTAGGGAAATAATTCTTAAAATCAGGAAAAAATTTTTTTTCCAGTCAGCTCCTTAAAAAAGTTAGGAAACCAAATATGCATTTTTCAATGTAAATAAGAAAAATATATCTTGAATTTTCATCAGTTTGTTAACAAATTGTTACTGATGGTGCTAAACATTACATTTTAATTAAAAAATGCAATTTGGGGCGCCTGGGTGGCTCAGTCGGTTGGGCGGCCGACTTTGGCTCAGGTCATGATTTCACGGTCCGTGAGTTCGAGCCCCGTGTCGGGCTCTGTGCTGACAGCTCAGAGCCTGGAGCCTGTTTCAGATTCTGTGTCTCCCTCTCTCTGACCCTCCCCCGTTCATGCTCTGTCTCTCTCTGTCTAAAAAATAAATAAACGTTAAGAAAAATTAAAAAAAAAAATAAAAAATGCAATTTGAAGACAGTAATACATATTTTTGGGATACATACACTGATGTTTTTTTCATTTCAAAATAAATTTTGCATTTCAAAAAATGCATACTTCAAAATGAGATTTTTTAAAAAAGATTTTATTTAATTTGTTTTTTTAATTTTATTTTTTTAATGTACATCCAAGTTAGTTAGCATATAGTGCAACAATGATTTCAGGAGTAGATTCCTTAATGCCCCCAAAAGAGATATTTTATATTTGAGTCTCTGAAAATATTTTTTCATCCATTTAGCCAATGTACTTGAAAAGAAAGATGTTTCTTGTCTATAAGTAATACTATACTTAGCAGACAGCAGTACTTAATGATTATGTTTGTATTACTAAAACAAGAGATTGAAAAAAGTAATGAACTGGACGTAACTTCACTAGAGAACTTACTACAATTAAAAAAAAAAAAACAGTGGTAGTCTTTACATATAGTGATACAGTTAGGAGGTATTCAGTTTTTAACTGAGTGATTGCAATGGGATTTCTTCTAATAACATGATTGTTAACATTTTTAATACCATATTCAAATAACTGACTCTATTGCTGAATGAACATAAAAATGATAAATTCCTTCTCTTTATTTTAAATCAAGAATAGAAATAGAATAACATTGTTTTAAAATGGGAGACATGTATCATGATTATTATTACAAGAAGTTTTTGGTGGCATGCCTCAAGAACTAGAAGTCTTAAGTTTTTGGATATTATTTATTGCAAAAGACAGAAGAGATAGAAAAGATACTTAACGTACACACAAGAAATGCACCTGGAAGAGCAAATTCCAAACTGTTAATGGCAGTTACCTTTGTTAACTGTTAATGGGAGAAGAGTGGGATTGGTTGGAGGGAGAAAGAGTGCAGGTGAGGGGGCACTCTCATTTTTTAGTTTATATTCTTCTGGCTTGCTTGAATTTATACTAGTGAGAAAGTTGGTCTCACAACTTTGATTTCAAAACTTGTTGAAAGTACAGAAATCAAAACAGTGTGGTACTGGCATAAAGACAGACATGTATTAATAGAATAGAGAAAAGAACCCAGAAGTAAACCCTTGTAGATATAGTCCAATGATTTTCCACAAGGGTGCCAAGACCGTTCAATGGGAAAAGGACAATCTTTTCAACATTAATGTTGGGAAAACTGCATATCCACATGCAGAAGAATGCAACTGGACTCTTCTTACTTTATACCATTTACAAAAATTAACTGAAAGTGAATCAAAGACCAAACACAAGAGCTAAAATTATAAAACTCTTAGAAGAAAACATAGGGGAAATGTTTCATGACATTGAATGTGGCAATGATTTCTTGGATATGACACCAAAAACACAGGCAACAAAATAAGAATGGATAGACTCTTAAATATGGAGAACAACAGAGGGTTACTGGAGGGGTTGTGGGAGAGGCGATGGGCTAAATGGGTAAAGGGCATTAAGGAATCTAGTCCTGAAATCATTGTTGCACTATATGCTAACTAACTTGGATGTAAATTAAAAAAATAAATTAAAAGAATGGATATATTGGATTTAATCAGAATTAAAAACTTTGTGCATCCAAGGACATCAACAGAGTGAAAAGGCACCCCATGGAGTAGGAGAAAGTATTTGCAAAGTATGTATCTGATAAGGGAGTAATATCCAGAATATATAAAGAACTCCTACAACTCAACAACAAAGAATAAACACTCCAATTAAAAAACAAGTAAAGGACTTGAATAGACATTTCTCTAAAGAAGATATACAGATGCCAATAAGCACATGAAAAGACACTCAACATTACTAATCATTAGGGAAGTGCAAGTTGAAACCACAATGAGATACCATTTCATACCCATCAGGATGGCTATTATACAAAAACAAAATAACAGATGATGGCTAAGACCTGGAGGAATTGGAACCCTTGTGCACTGCTTGTGGGAATGTAAAATGGTGCTGCTGATATGGAAACCAGTATGTTCCTCAAAAAATTAAAAATAGAATTATCGTATCATCCAGAAATTCCACTTCTGGGTATATGACCCAAAAGAATTGAAAGCAGGGACTCTAAAGATATTTGTACATTCATGTTTATAGCAGCATTATTCACAATAGCTAAAAGGTGGAAGTATCTCATGTCTATTGTATGAATGGGTGAACAAAATGTGACACATACATATTATGGAATATTATTCAGCCTCAAAAAGGAAGGAAATTCTGACACATTAAAATTCTGACACATCGATTAACCTGGAGGACATTGGACTAAGTGAAATAAGCGAGGCACAATAAGATGACTGCTACGTGATTCCACTTACAAGTTAACTTTAGTCAACCTCATAGACAGAAAGTAGAATGATGGTTCCCCAAAGCTGGGGGCAAGGGGAAATGGGGAGTGGTTATTTAACAGACACAGAATTTCAGTTTGGAAAGATGCAAAAATTTAGGGAGATGGATAGTGGTGATGATTTTGCACTATTAAAACTGTACTTAATGCTGTTGAACTATACACTTAAAAATGGTTATAATGATAAATTTTATGTTTTATCACAATAAAAAATTAACTGCAAATGTATTTAGAGGGTGTGGGGGTTGCAGGAAAATAGCAGAGCTGTAAAATTGCTTGGAAATAATGCAGATTTAAATCTAGCAGAAAATGAGATATTGTAGGATTTCTTACTATTGGTAAAATTCACAAAATTGAATGTAATTTGGATTATTATTATTTTTTAATGTTTATTTATTTTTGGAGAGAGAGAGAGAGAGAGAGTGAGAGCAGGGGAGGGGCAGAAAGAGAGGGAAAACAGAATCTGAAGCAGGCTCCAGGCTCTGAGCTGTCAGCACAGGGCCTGATGCAGGGCTCAAACCCACAAACTGCGAGATCATGACCTGAGCCGAAGTTGGGCGCTTAACCAACTGAGCCACCCAGGCGCCCCTGGATTATTTTCTACTAAATATTCCATGGCTGATTGATTTAAAATTTAGATACACATGCATTTAGACAATTATCCATGGTAACTCTGGAACTCAAGATTTATAGTCATGCCCTATCTGGAAGTAAAGTGTCCAGGCCTGAAAATATTTTGTAACAGGAAGAAAATAACATTCTGTTATTCAGAAATAAGGGTCTATTTTTCTTTCCCTCTCTATTCCACAAAGTGTTAAAAAGTCCAATACCAGGAGCAGTTGCCAGATAACAAAAGAAATAAGTAATTTGTAGCAGGTGGTTCTAATTGTGCCCATCGAATCTGTGGCTCAATTGTGCAGAAGAGTGGAAAATCAATTAGCAACTACAAGGTTGGGCACTGGTGAGTGACAGGAGTGTCTTAACTCAAACAGGAAATCAGTAATGGAAGAAAATGATTATCCAGGCTGCTAGTGGACACTTTTGGATTTGAGGAGACTTTCCATCTGCTGCCCAACCTTCTCAGACAAAAGATGCTGTTGAAAAATTTTGTGGTGCATTGTCACTCAAAGAGTAGGGTATAGTGTGAGGCTTTGTTTCTTACCTGATGGAATCTGAATGAATAACAGTTAAGAGCATGGGCCCCTTCCTTTCCTCAACTTGCATGTCCTGTGTTGGAGTCACTGCTTTGGATATAGACATGTTTGCAGGGCCGTGTACATGTGTGGTAACTGTCTAGGAGAGATGCCTCACTGGGGCTAATGGTAGCAATGCAGGATCTTGACTGTTCATTGAGTAGCATTCTGGCACAAAGTCACCTGAGTGGGCCTACAAGGTTGTGGATAGAATGAAAACAAACTTATTCATCCTATAGCTCTGTTGTGGAGTTAGACCATACAGTAGTCAATTAATATTGACTACTGAATATAGTTTATCAAAGAAACAAATTATTTATAACATCTTCTTGTATCTAGTTTTGGGGGAAATGAAACCAAGTAGATTTTTTTCCAGACACTTTATTTGTATGAGATCTCCAGGATTCTTAGAAAATGAAGTATCTGGGGGCCCCTGGCTGGCTCAGTTGGTTGAGCATCCCACTCTTGATTTTGGCTCAGGTCATGATCTTAGGGTTATGGGATGGAGCCCTGCCTTGGGCTCCGTGCACAGAGTATGGAGCCTGCTTAAGATTTAAGATTTCCCTCTCCTCTTCCCCTGGGTTACTTCTCCTCAAAAAAAAAAAAAAAAAAAAAAGGAAAGGGAAGGGAAGGGAAGGGAAGGGAAGGGAAGGGAAGGGAAGGAAAGGAAAGGAAAGGAAAGGAAAGGAAAGGAAAGGAAAGGAAAGGAAAGGAAAGGAAAGGAAAGGAAAGGAAAGGAAAGGAAAGGAAGCATTTGAACGTTAACAGATTTCTGCCCTACTTGGGTCACTATGGCATTATAGGTTATTTGTAATGTCACTTTGAATTTATCCATTTAGTGTGTTCTTCCATCTTCTTCACTATGTTTCTATATTCTACCTCTTTAGCTGCTGGCCTGCAAGTGGCACCAGGACAATAATAACATGCCTTTTATTTCTTTTGTACAGCATGCCAGTGTTTAATATGGTGCCTCTCACAATATAGATATTTAATAAATAATTTTCTAATAAATGCTTGACTATTGCTTTTTTTGCATTGTCTAGATAACATTTGAAAAGTAATTAGCACAGTGCCAGGTATGTGACAGGTATTCAATGAATATTACACAAAAAAAGGAAAGAAAGAATAAGACATAAGAAACAGGTGAAACAATTAGACAATTTTCTTTAGTGAAAAACATAATTATGTTATAATTAACAAAAGAGCATAGATAGCTTCACTGATCAGGCTCCTGAATAAAGTCCAGTGTTGGCTCACTTACTGGAGGACCTTTACCCCAAGGTGCTTTTGAAATCTTTTGGGTGGGTGAGCAAGTTGAGGATAAAGGCTTCTTTCTGCCTGCCAGCTATTCTGGGAAGGAGGAAGGTAGAACTAAAAACAACACTGGGATACATCAAGGGTGGTACTACTGCTGAAGGAAGGGACTCCTGAGCACAAAATGTTTTGCCAGGCAATTTATTTTGAAACTGCTGTCAATCCAGTCATTGTGTGTGTGTGTGTGTGTGTGTGTGTGTGTGTGTGTGTGTGTGTGCGCGCGCGCGCGCGCGTGTGTGTGGGTGTGGGTGTGTGTGTCGGCATGTGCATGCACACGCATTCTGTGCATGGTTTGGAGGAAAGACTGGGAAAGAAAATAAGAGGAAACGGGAAATACTAGTGGCTTTGCATGTTGACTTCTTCTGTGGGGAGAGCAGAGAAAGCACATAATTCCTCCTACAGGTTAGACCTATGTGGTAAGAGTCTCTAGGTAAGACTATAGTATCAATTGTCTTGTTTCTGGTCTTCGGTGTATATTTTTAAAGGCAATAGCCTCAGTAAAAAAGCAAATGACTAGCTTTGCAGGTATAGTTTCCCAAGCAACCACAGAAGGGTTCTACCTTGTTTCTGTCTTCAGTTTGGAGAAGTCATTTTCCCAGCCCTCATTGTTCTCCTGGCATTGATAGTGACACTGAGGTCACTTCCGCTGTTGGTACTTTTATTCCCTATTACAAATCTATAGCATATTGCAAATTCTGTGGAGTGTCAAAAGGGCAGTTTCTCTGTTACTATGGAGAAGACACCTGTGAACAGAGAAGTCTATATCTAAACAAATATAGAGCTAAGAAGCAATGGGGAAGCATTTGAAAATACTCCACAGTTTAGCTATACTTACTTTTGTTCTTCAAAATAACCTCACATAACTCACACACATTACATTAAAAACATAGTTTTTAAATAACATATTTCTTTTCCATTACATGCATTTAGATAAAATCTGACTGAATATGTATTCAAAACTAAATAATTATAAATCTTTATGGAAAGTAAAAGTCATCTTAAATTTTACTCGGTTACTCAAAAATTGATTTAGGAATAACATTGTGTGATTTAAATTCATCTCAATCAATAGTTTAAATAATTTAATATTCTACTGTACAGTTTAGATTTTGACAAGTTACTGATTATGGCTAGATTTTATCATCCCAGGAGCCCTCCTGTCAAAAAAGTACAGTCATGTCTCTGATAGAAAATTTCTATCTTACCTGTTTGTAATGGTTACAAGTGCAGGAGGACAGTAATAACCACTGGAGGCATGGTCAAAGCTTCGAAGGACAGTGTCAATTTTGTAACAGAATCTACCATGTCTCTCCCATCCCTTCAAAAAGGAAATAGAAAATGAAAGACATAAATGATTTAAACGGCAAAATAGTGTTTTTGTGTATTCTTATTTACTACTTGTACATAACTTCCTTCTCTGACCCACTCAAAACTCAAAACTTGAGTTTCTGTCTTGAAATCTTTGTATTCTACCTGGTAATGCCATTAGCTACAGCCACTTCTATATTTATTTAATTAATTATTAAAACCTGAAAGTTTTAATTAACTTGAAATCTTAAAATCTAAAATGAAATAAAGGAGCACTCACTCAAGATCTCTTTCTCTCTCTCTGTTCAGACTTACAGAGTTTCATACAAATGCTTCCTACAGGATGGTAGAAACCAAGACTGTTGGGTTTGAAGGCAGAAGGCATGGGTTTGAATACTGGCTCTACTAGTGTGCAACTTTATATAATCTCTACATGTCTTAATTTTCTCCTCTGTAAAATGAAGATAATAATAGTGTCCATGGAGTTGTTCTGAGAATCAAAGGGAGACAATGCAGGCAGAGGCCTTAAATAGAGCCAGGAACTCAATATGAGCAAAGAGGAAATATGTATCTAGATAATAGTGTATACATCTTTTCAACTTTGTTTCATATTGCTTATTTCATGTTATCCCACTGAGATTGACTGAGGTTAGAGACCTAGATGAAGTCACAAGCTAGTGGACAAGCTGGTCTGGAACCCAATTCTGGTGTAATCCGGGATGGTCTTGGATAGATCATAAGGTTTCCAAATAGAGACTGGCTAAATAAATGTATACAATATATAAATGTATATTAGTATATTATATAAATATATATATTACATATACATTTATATATTATATATACACACAGAAATATATATATGTATTTATATATGTATATATATACACATATATATGCATACACATAAATATATACATATATATGTATATTTATGTATGTATATATTTATATGTATATATACAATATGTTGTATGTATATTTTAAATATAAATAATACAAACATATATAAATATATGCATATATATACAAACAAATATATATATTTGTAAAAATTATTCCTAAACCAACTGGCTAGCCTTTGAGACAGAAAGAAAGCAAGCTTTGGCACTTAGACAAAAATGATAAATGTGTAGTTCCATACCTCCGCCCCGAGAGCATTGAAGGGTATCTCTGTTCTTTAAAATCATACAGTACAGGAGACATGTATTCATTAGTCTTCTATATTTTCACTGAGCTTTTTTAGTCCCTTTTCTTTCAATATTATAAAATCACATCACTTACATCTATCTATTTTTATGTATTTGCCAGTTTTAAAATACACTTTATTCTGTGTCTGTGTCATGCCAATACTTGACAGATTTTGATCAGATATAAAATGACTTCTGCTATATTTCTTAGAAAAGGTCTCTGTCTTGCAGTAAATTAAAGAAAACCTTATTTTAGAACTCAGTTATTTTTTTCAAAACATATTATTAAATGAGGTGTGGATCACAGGAGTTCCACATCCAGCCAGCCACAGTGTGCTCTGAACTCACTCCCTGATCTTCTCCCCATAACCTCATCTGTGTGAGTAATTGACAGCTCCAGCCAGAACCCCCGGATCACTCCAGATGGGGTGGGAGGTTAGACTGCTTTTGTATTTGGAAGGACAGGCGGAGGAAGGCTGACAATTTGACCTTTCTAACAAAGTATTCCTTCTTCATTAGTAGTTTTCAGATCACAGACTGCTTAGTAAAACCAAAAAGCTGAGAACTGAACAGACTCTAGGAAAGGGGGTGGGGATGTGGCATAGTAATAACTAGAAAAACAAAGGCTCCTTACTACAAGCCTTTGTCCACACAATGAGAGTGGGAAGAATAATTGATTGTATCTGTGAATATCTTTTGTACATGAGGTGCCATTTCATTTTAAATGAAATGATGATGATGACAGTACTGAAACAATTGCTCATATTATACAATCCCCAAAAAATGACTCAGAGCGGGGGGTGGGTTTTTTTTTTTTTTTTGCTTTGAAATTATCAAGAAAATTTTCTTCCTTATGTAGTGCTTTTTACTCCTGTGACTTATTCATTCCATAACTGAAGGCTACAGCCATCACTCATTTTGCCCATTCCCCACCCCCTCTGCTAGACAACCATCAGTTTGTTCTCTGTGTTTATAGGTCTGATTCTGCTTTTTGTTTAATTTACTCTTTTAGATTCTACATATAAGTGAAATCATATGGTATTTGTCTTTCGCAGGCTTATTTCACTTAGCATCATACCCTCTAGGTCCATTCATGTTATTGTAAATGGCACGATCTCATCCTTTTTTATGGTTGTATAATGTGTGTGTGTGTGTGTACAACACATCTTCCTTATCCATTCATCTATTGATAGACACTTAGGTTGCTTCCATATCTTGGCTATTGTAAATAATGTTGCAATAAACATAGAAACATATCCTTTCAAATTAGCATTTTTGCTTTCTTTGGGTAAATATACCAGTATTGGAATTACTGGATCATGTGGTGTTCCTATTTTTAATTTTTGAGGAACCCCCATACTGTCTTCCACAGTGGCTGTACCAATTTACATTCCCACTAAGAGTGCATGGGTTCATGAGGGCTCCTTTTTTTTCCCACATCCCCACGAACACGGGTTATTTCTTGTGTTATTGATATTAGCCATCCTGACAGGTGAAGGTGATACCTCATTGTGGTTTTGATATGCACTTCCCTGATGATGAGTGATGCTACACATCTTTTCATGTATCTGTTGGCCATCTGTATGTCTTTTTTGGAAAAAATGTCTATTCAGGTCCTCTGCCCATTTTTAATCAGATTATTTGGAGGCCTTTTTTTGGGTTTTTTTGGTGTTTACTTGTATACATTCTTTATATATCTTGGATATTAACTCCTTATTGGATGTACCATTTCCAAATATCTTTTCCCACTCAGTAGGTTGCTTTTTTGTTTTTTTGATGTTTTTTTTTCCACTGTGGAAAAGGTTTTTATTTTGATGTAGTCTTAATAGTTTATTTCTGATTTTGTTTCTCTTGCCTTAAAAGACATATCTAGAAAAATGTTTCGACTGCTGATGTCAGAGAAATTACTGCTTTTGTTCTCTTCTACTATTTTTATGATTTCAGGTCTCATATGTAGCTCATTAATCCATTTTAAATTTATTTTTGTGCATGGTGTGAGAAATATTTTATAAGTTGATTTTACACATCCAGACTGTTTAGAGAAGTGCAGTGAAGCAGTGGGCTAAAGGAAAGGAAACTTTTGAAACCACATTCACAGATTGATTCATAAAGAACTTAATGAGAGTTTCACCATAAAGTTAGAGAACGGGATCTGAGCTCCAGTTTTACTCTGAACCTAAATACTAGTAACGCTGGCCAGAAAAGGGAAGCTGTGTACACAAGTTTGAATAGAACATCAGTTCTGTTTTTGCTGTGTAAGGAGTTAATTTCCTTTTTAACACAAATACAACATGTTGAGTTGCTTTGAAAACCACAATAAGACAAATATTTTTTTTCAATATTTCTGATCAGCTATAGATCAGTGATCAGCTCTAACTTCAGGAACTGTAATCATTAGATAAAATTTTTGGTAGTATGTCAGCTATGGCATAGGTATTGTTGACCTAAAGTAGGAAGAGTAATTCATATGTTTACACTGATTACTGAATAAAATGCAGTTTCTTGGAAAGATGGGTCATTGCCTCATCGAAACATAAATACCTGGATTAGAAGAGAAAATATTTAAGAATTGCATAAAAATCCAGGTTTGGGAAATTTTTGAGATGCATACAAATATCCAATATTTAAATTTAATTGTTTAGTGTGTGTGTGTGTGTGTGTGTGTGTGTGTGTGTGTGTGAGAGAGAGAGAGAGAGAGAGAGAGAGGCAGGGAATGAATGTGTTGAGAACTTTACTCAAGGATACTGAATGTATTTGAAGAAATTTAAGACATAACCTTCTACCTTTTAATTTTAAACCTGAAGTGTTATGTATTTTTTATTACTTTAAGTACTGAGAATAATTATGTTAAGTACCAAAAATAATTTATTACTTAAAATATTAAAGTATTTTTATTATCTCTTTCCCAACTAATAAATATATTGCAAACATGCACTTCTCACCATTATTGTACTCTATTCAAATATTTAAGTTTAAGATGAGTGAAAAGGAAGTCAGGAGTCTGAGTGAAGAAGTTCACTCTCCATCAAAGGAATGCATTTTTTTTTCACTCTGACAGTCCTCACTGGGAGACTATGAAAACCACCTGTGAGATGGGGCATCACATGACAGTCATTGTTTGTACAGATGGGATAACAGGACCTTTATATTTTTTATTTCAAAAGAAAAGTAGTTTAGGTTGAAGAGGATGGCAAGACAACAATCCTTTGCAGGGCTGTAAACCCTTCATATGCTCCCAGCTGATAACTGCTTGGTTTGTTAAAAGTAGCCCACAGTCAAAAAAAAAAAAAAAAAAAAAAAAAAAAAAAAAAAAAAGGAGGGAAGGAAAGAAAGAAAAGTGATAGGGAGGGAGGGGAAAGAGAGGGAGGAGGGAGCAAAAGTAGGTATGAGAGGGAGACATTATTTAAATTGCTGTTGCATAAATTATTCTAGCTATGCATTCAATACACCTAAATGCAATGTTAACAGCACTTACCTTTTGACAGCCTGATTCAGTGTCAGAAAGGACATGGCCTGCTTTCTTACAAACGTAAAAAAGTGTTTCTTCACAATTTTTAACTTTCCAGTGCCCCTCCTAAGGGGAAACATGTTACAAGATGGATGAATTAACTTCATTATTGATGCTGATAGGCAACATCAGTTATTTTCTTTTTTTTAAATATAATTTATTGTCAAATTTGTTTCCATACAACACCCAGTGCTCATCCCAACATCAGTGCCCTCCTCAATGCCCATCACCCACTTTCCCCTCTCCCCCACCCCCCATCAACCCTCAGTTTGTTCTCAATATTTAGGAGTCTCTTATGGTTTGCCTCCCTCCCTCTCTGTAACTTTTTTCTTCCCCCTTCCACTCCCCCATGGTCTTCTGTTAAGTTTCTCAGTATCCACATATGAGTGAAAACATATGGTATCTGTCTTTCTCTGCCTGACTTATTTCATTTAGCATAATATCCTCCAGTTCCATCCATGTTGCTGTAAATGGCCAGATTTCATTCTTTCTCATTGCCAAGTAGTATTCCATTGTATATATAAACCACATCTTCTTTATCCATTCATCAGTTGATGGACATTTAGGCTCTTTCCATAATTTGGCTATTGTTGAAAGTGCTGCTATAAACATTGGGGTACATGTGCCCCTATGCATCAGCACTCCTGTATCCCTTGGGTAAATGCCTAGTAGCACAATTGCTGGGTCATAGGGTAGATCTATTTTTAATTTTTTGAGGAACCTCCACACTGTTTTCCAGAGCGGCTGCACCAGTTTGCACTCCCACCAACAGTGCAAGAGGGTTCCCGTTTCTCCACATCCTTGCCAGCATCTATACTCTCCTGATTTATTCATTTTAGTCACTCTGACTGGCATGAGGTGGTATCTCAGTGTGGTTTTGATTTGTATTTCCCTGACAAGGAGTAATGTTGAGCATCTTTTCATGTGTCTGTTGGACATCTGGATGTCTTCTTTAGAGAAGTGTCTATTCATGTCTTCTACCCATTTCTTCACTGGATTGTTTCAGTTATTTAAATAAAAAATATGATTAATAATAAGTGTTTCAGTATGGGGTAATGAGTCAGGACCTTGTGTTGTCATTAGAAGAGTTGATACTCTCTCTACATGAGAGTGGGAGGCCCTGCTCTCTCCAGCATGTGAACAATTACAAGATGTGCAATCCCAGAGTGGTGGATAGGAGGGAGGGGCCATTAATGTTTCTTGATAGTGTGCCAGGCTTAATATTGTGTGATTTTCATGTATAATTTCAACATTTCTGTGAGGTAGGCATTATCATTCCTATTTTAAAGGTTAGGTTTAATACTTTGCGCTAAGTTTTATAGTCAGTAAAACTGGAAACTAGGATTTAATACCAGGCTCAGCCTAGATTTACATTAAGCTGCTCTCAATTTTTCTTTTAAAAAGATGGGTTAGAGCAGGGATTCTCAATCTTTATTGTGCACCAGAATTATTTGAAAGGATTACTAAGGTGTAGATGATGGGGCCTCATGATCAGTGTGTCTCATTTCACAGGTCAGGTAGGACACAAGAATTTGCATTTCTGACAAGGTTTCAATTGATTGATGCTGCTGGTCTGGGGACCACACTTTGGAAACTATCCTCATGACCAGTGAGACTGCTGCTTCCTTTCTTCAACCACTTCTAAATATTAAGTGGAATGTTTGCTACTTACATATATAAACCTAATGCTGGGGAAATGCCTGGAAGCTACCATGAATCACCCTAGATAACATTATCATAGATGAACTTTGTGCTCAAGCCATAATGTCCTTCTTTATCACTAAGTTTCCAAAGCCCCACCCCATTTCTTCTTTATATGACAGGTGGATACTTTCACGTCTTCTAGTTCTGCAGCTAGCTGCTCTAACAACCTACATTAATAATGAAATACAATAACTGCTAACAGATTAAAATTTTATCCTCCCAAAGGATTTGTTAACACAAATCAGACCTTTAAGCTAAAACCACACAATTCAAATTTTAGGTGGTATCTCAGGCATTCAGATTTTTAGGGGAATATACATATTGGGTAGGAGGCTGACACCTTCATCTTACAGAGCAGCCCTATAGCCCACCATCATGGAGTCTTCTAGCAAGCCATCCAGTTAAAGGATACTGTTAGGCCTACTGTATTTGCTTAATAACAATTGGATGGATGGATGAATGGAGAAAGTTTCCTAGGCTCTCACATTCAAATTAGGCATCAACCATGCTTAGGTAACTTGTTAATTACAATAATCATATTCATGTTGAGTTCTACTTCATGGGAATGAATGTTACTTTTTATGCATTTACTATTTAAGGAGCCACTAAGCTGCCAGAAAGGAGGACCCAAAGTATCACACTTACAGCAGCATTGTCCTGACACATCCTATAGTATTAATACCTGTTCTTACTCTCTTAAAAATAATTTATGTTCGGGGCGCCTGGGTGGCTCAGTCGGTTAAGCGTCCAACTTCGGCTCAGGTCACGATCTCACGGCCCGTGAGTTCGAGCCCCGCATCGGGCTCTGGGCTGATGGCTCAGAGCCTGGAGCCTGCTTCCGATTCTGTGCCTCCCTCTCTCTCTGCCCCTCCCCCGTTCATGCTCTGTCTCTCTCTGTCTCAAAAATAAATAAACGTTAAAAAAAATTTAAAAAAAAAAAATAATTTATGTTCAAATGTTGGCTCCTGTTCTGTGAACTTGCTAAGTAAATAACCAATGTCTGTCAAATGTAAAAGGAGAATGTCAGTAGGAAATGAAGGTCATCTTAATTATCTCAAAACCAATGAACCAATAAAGCGTCAAATATTGTAGAATAAACAGTGATGGCTTTCAGCAGAGTTAGACGCAAGATAAACATTTAGAGAGGTCATTGTTTGTTCCTTTTCAAATGTGACTTGAGAACTACCTTGGCATTTTAACTGTAACTGAGCATATCTATAACAACCTAAAAGAGGAAACAATGAAATGTGCCATCAAAGTAAGTGCTTAGAAATTTTCTATGTTTGGTTGGTGCCATTACTTTGTCCAGCTACTTAAGTAACATTTAATTAACTGCACTTGACATGGTGTCCTCCTGGTGGTAAGAAAGAGTGAGAATGCCTACCAAATCCTAATGACTTAAAACTCAGCCAGTGAGTTTAGTAACTATCTGATCAAAGAGATTAAGTCTACTTTAAACATATAATAAACCCTTCAAATGACTTCGGATTAAATCAGATGTTTTAGATAAATGAGAGATTAGGGCATAGAAATAAGTGTGATGTTAAGGCCACCGGGACCATTACATTCTTGTGAGGAAAAGAGCAAGATTTTCCATTGATTCACAGTTTTCAATGAGGTTACGCACATTGTAGAAATCCTTTTATGTTAATAGGATAATGGAGCTTAAAAATCATCAGTCTCTAGAGTAATTTCCTGACACCTCAGATCTTCCCCTTACATCTTCACCACGGTGGTCAGTGGCACCATCATCCACAAACATGGTGGTTGCTCAAGCCAAAAACCTATTCCTCTCTCACCCCACATCTACTAGCAACAATTCCTATCCTCCAAGGGATCTTTGAATTTCTCTCCTTGTCTCTATATTCACTACCCCAATTCAACACTGAAGTAGCCCCCAAACTGGTTTCTCTGCTTCCATTTTCTGTCTTTCTCTAAGCTACTCTCTATGTAGCAGCCACAGTTATTTTTTAAAATGTAAATCAAGGGGCACCTGGGTGGCTCAGTTGGTAGAGCTTCTGACTTTGGCTCAGGTCATGGTTTGTGTGTTTGAGCCACAATAAAATAAAATAAAATGTAAAACAATGCCCTTCATCTCCTTGAAGTCCTTTTGTCATTCTATACCAGGACTATAAGCTTGACATTTTTGCATTCTTCCTGCCCCCTCTCCTAGGATCCCCTCAAGCCACACTGGTCTCCTTTTTGATTATTAAACATGGCAAGCCTTGGCCGGCCTTTGAGCTTTTACACTAGCAGCTGTCCCCTGGCTGGAATGTTCTTCCCTTGCTCCTCCAGAGGTTTTTTTTTTTTTTTTTTTTTTTTTTTTTTTTTTTAAGTTCTAGCTTAAACATCACCTCTTTGGAGAGCTTCCCCTGACCATTCTGTATGAAGTAGCAGCCCCAACTCAGGTTGTTCACCATCACATCACCTATCTCCTCAAAGCTATGATCGCAACTATAATTACCATGTTTCTCCTGTGTGTGCATGTTTACTGCCTAGCGTAGAAGCCCCAGGAGGAGTAGGGACTGTGCCTTGGTCTCTGCCACAGCCCAAGTCCCTGATGCAGGTGGCCCTCAATACAAATCCAGCAAAGTGAGCACTAAACAAATCAACTTACAGATTGCTCTGCTGAGACACATAGTTGGCTTCTATTTGGAAGAATTTGGGGCTCAAGTGCGTGCCAATTAGTAAAGGTGACTGAAGAGCCATTGGACCATTCAAAGGAAACTGGAATTTTATTGCTGCTCAAACCAATCCATGTTTCTGATGCATTTTCTGTAAGAGAGAAATGTAAACTATAGGAATCCTATTAATGCAAAGGAGATAATGCACCAGGCCTGTTATAAATGATTTCTTCTTTATTTTTTCATGTGATAAAACCTTTTAAGTCTCAGTATAAAATATCTACTTAAACCTGTTCCCCCTATACTATCCCATCTGCTTGACTCAGACCTTGTAAATGGGGCAGAGTATGAGCTAAAGCCAATGCAAGAACAAAGCTTAAAAGCAAGTCAGATTGCTGGGACTCTAATTAGTTCCTGCTACTGTATGAAAAGTATATTTGATCAGTATGGTTTTGCTTTTGCCTAGATAAAGGAAAAATAGGAAGGTCAATTGGATTAGGAAAAGGACCTTTAAAAGAAAAATCTTTACAATATATTTTTTCTTGACTTTTCTCTCTCTCTCTCTCTCTCTCTTTTTCTTTGCCATGGGAAAAAGAGGAGCAGAAACTCTTAGAAGCATTAAAATGGGAGCAATGGGGTTGCCAGAAAAGTAAATAAAGTTTGACAGCCCAGGTAAGGTGAAAAGACCCTAGGAGGCTGAGAGAAACGTTCAAGTGCCCCTATTGAGACAGAGGCAGCCACAGGATTCTTTTAATCTCAAATGCAGAAGGTGAGAAAAAGTGACAGAGAGGATTTTTGTTTTTACTCGAAACTAAAACCTAACTTCCAAAAAGTCACCAGTGTAGACTCTGGAGATTTTTTTTTTCATTAAAAAAAAATTTACTCTAACTCAGTGATTTCAATGTTCTTCAGAAGAATTCCATGTCAAATACAAGACACAGGGGGAGGCCTGCTCTGATGCACGGAAGGTGGGTGCAGGCCCAGGAGCTCAGAATTCCTGAACCATGGCACACAGCTTGAAAACCACCAAACCTTTCACTGGCTACAGTTATTAAAATCCAATTATTTATCTAAAGAATTCCATTACTACTTAGATCACATGACCATAGCACATAACTGCTATCTAGTGGCCATAAAGCTAAATTACAGGTTTAAGTTTCATGGTTTTTTTTTTAATGTTTTTGAAACTTCAGATATATATACCATAAATCATCACTTTTACATAGCTTCTTTTCAACTCCACTAATAAAGATAGTGACTACATTATATTTCATGCCTCTTAGTTCAAAGACATGTGGCACTTACCATCTCCAAGGAGGGTTATAAGAAACTCCACCTGTGCTAATGAAGCAATGTTTATTAATGTGCTGTTGTCAGACTGGCAAGAATGCAAAGCTTCCTTCCAGGTCTTTTTTTCTTTCTGAAGTTTATAGCAGTTACGATTATGGGGATTCCAGCCAGGCTCACAGTAGGTAGTGTAATATTTCCAAGCATCTTTTTCTTTTTAAAACAATGAAAAACAATGTCATTTTCCACAATTTTTAACATGTTACTTGTTAGCCTTAATAGAAATTGCCATCAATATATGATTGTTTTAAAAATTTGAAAAATAGAGACATATGAAACAATAACATATAAATCATCTACATCTTCAGAGTTGAGAAGGATTCACTATAGGATCTAGATCTAGACTGAACGGATCTCAGTGCTTTATTTTACAGATGAGCTAAGGTACAAAGAGGTAAGGAGACTTGGTGAAGGTCATAAGACAAAGTGAACCGTCAGGGCTAGATGTAAAATTTAGCAGTCAGAGTTCTGCATTTAGAAAATTTATTTACACCAAAAATGAGTATTATGACACACAATATAAATGGTATTCCGAAGATTTTATGTACAATATGTAGATCTTTATCCTCAGCTGAAAAAAAGCCTCAAATTCTGGTTACTTCCTCCAAAGCAGAGTTGACAAATAGCTTTCACCTTTAGGGTATGTCTGAGTGTCTGCGTTGTCCTTCTGGGTTCATATGGACCCTGGGTTAGACTTACAGAACAGTTCCAGGATGCTTTGGCACTAATAGGGAAGGCAGTGGTATGCATGTGCACTTTTGGCTCTCCCTTTCCAGAATCTTGTCCCCAACCTGGTAATTAGCATTTTTACTTTATTTTATTAACTACAGCTGAGTGCCTCCCTTAAGCACTAATTTAGTTAGCTATAGCTCCACTGCTATTTGGGAAATGAGACATTGTTTTAAAATTGCTCTGGGATGCTAAGCGCAAATGATATCTAAATATTTAGATATCATCTACCCCAGTGGTTTTCAACCAAGGGGTCATAGAACCCCTTTTGAAATTAAAACCATAAACTTTGCTCTATGGGTAAGATAAAAAGATAAAAGAGAAATTTCTCTGATTGAAGCAGGGTGGAGCCACGCAAAGAACCTTCAGATCCCAGAAACAGTTTGAAGACACTGGACTAGGTCATTGAAAGAATTTGTTAAACCTGAAGCAACGGCAAAGAATCCAAACTAATTTAGCTTAATTACCCTCATTTGTGGTCTTTGGGCTTCAATTAGTAGAACCTTAGAGTAAATAAAAGAGAAGAAAAGAAGGATGGCAGGAGGGCATAAGAAAGAAACGAGTAAGAGAGGAAGAGATGGAAGGGAAGGACATAAATAGCGATAGCAATTTCAGCATGTTCTTGACATAATGAAAACTCTACATAAAAAAATGGCACAATGCTTCTCCCCCCCACCCCCCCACCATGATTCCACCATTCACTTAGGGTTAGCCACTTGAAGGAAAATGAAAGTTAACGTCTGATTGTAAGGAATAATATTTAAAAATGATAATTCTAGGGGCGCCTGGGTGGCTCAGTTGGTTGAGCGTCCGACATCGGCTCAGGTCACGATCTCGCTCTCAGCGAGTTTGAGCCCCGCGTCGGGCTCTGTGCTTCCAACTCAGAGCCTGAAGCCTGTTTCAGATTCTGTGTCTCCCTCTCTCTCTGCCCCTCCCCCACTCATCCTCTGTCTCTCTCTCCCTCTCTCTGCAAAAATAAATAAACATTAAAAAAATTTATAAATAAATAAAAATGATAATTCGCTTTATTTTAAATCTGGAGTTCCTAATTATGCTGGTCATGATTCTTCTAAATATGGTTATGTTTTTATGTCTACTTTCTGAATTAAGACATTAACTCCCACAGAAACTAAAAAGAGCCAGGAGACCTTAAAAACAAATAATTGGGCTTTAGGTATTAGATTGTAATTAGGTAGTATTTAAGTCTTAGTTGCACATAAAAGTTTGTATGTTATTTTGAGGAGGATGGTTATAAGAGACTCAGAGTATGGTAGGAGATCAATGAAGTAAAGAATTTTATAAAACTGTGTTCTAATTTATATTTAATTTCTAAGGTAACCATCATTAAAACTCAAAACTAGACTAGAAAAGGAAGCATATCTTGTTTTTCTAATGCAGAACAACTCAATTAAAGAAATTAGAAGAAATTAAAGAAAAAGCAGCAGAAATTGTCTTCTATGCTTAGGTCCTTTGCTTTGGTTTTTAGTAAAAACCTAAATGCATTTGTTAAATTCGTGGTGCCTTTGGAATAACAGATATTATCTGCTTACATATTTTTATTCATGTAACTATAAAACCCAGCCCTAGCTGCTTAAATTGTGAATTACTAGCAAAAATGTAAATGAATTTGAATACATTGAGATGACAAGTAAGCAACTCATAAAGCCAACTTAAAGTAAAATCACTTACCAGTCACTTCTTGATCACTGTGGTTTAGATACTTTTTACATATATAAGGCAAGGTGGACCCACAATCCCGACTCTGCCAGGCATTTGGCATCAATGAATTCAATGTTCCACAATGATACTCAACAAATGGCTCAAAACTTATTTCTGAAAATACAGTGTATGTGTGTTTAATGTTAGAGGCAAAAGTGGTTAGTTTAAAATATATTGATGTCATTTTATTTATTCAAGTATGATATATTTGACATATGTAAGTGTGGTGTTTTAGCATCAAGGAGATAGCTCTTCTCTGGCATGTGTGACAAATCCTAGAAGATGCTATATTATATCTATGATTTTGCAGTTGAAGTCCAGACATGACAACGAAATGATTTTTCAAAGATAGCAATAGCTGATTTTGTTTTAAAGAAATATTTGCAGTTTGTTGCTATTTTTTAAAACAGCTGACTAGAGTCTTGGCTCTAAACCAACCCTCCTGCAACCTTGGAGAAACAGCTTACCTTCTTGACCTCCATTTTCTTGTCTGGAAAAGCTTGCCTTATAGGAATTCAGGCAAGCTTAAAAATGTTTATAAACCACTTTTAAAATAACATGACTTCTATATGTGTGGGATATAGCTTCTGTGTAAGGCTGTGGGATAATTCTACCCATCAAAGGCACATAAAACACTGCAGGTACCCGGGTTCCAGTTCAGATAGTTGAGCGGCGTTCTATCAGACCACTGCCAGCCAGCATTTTCATCCAGTTGATTCAGACCTATCCACATTTCCACCGCTTCACTGCCCAAGTGCTCTAAAATGAAGAGAAAAATAAGAGTTTGAACACGAGGAAACAAACACCCCCCTCCCCACAATGATACAATTCTTTCTTGTTTTCTCATTCCTGAAGGATGTAGTCATAAATGAATTGCAGTCAATGACAGAGAAGGGTTTTAAGTGCTACTAAACCCCACTCTGATGCTTCAGAGTAACAAAGTCAGGCTCTGGCATCTTGAGAAACACCGCATTCTTATAAAGGCTCACTAACAGCAGTTCTTGAGCTGTGAAGGGCTTAATCTAAGCATCCAGAAGTGCTGCCTTTAAAGGATCATCAGTCCACCCAAGAGTGCATGGTTGCACATCTGAGACCATCTGATTTGCATGAACTCATGCAATTAAGGGTTTTGGATGGGGGAGGAGGAAGTGTCCAGGAAGTCCACTCCAGAAAGCACCCCTCTGTCTGTCCTCTCTTGCTATGTGTTCCTGGTAGCAGCTTTGGCTTGGAGGCTCAGGACTGCAGTTTGCTGAGGTTACCATAGGCCCCAAGTAAGGGGAATAGGAAGAAGTGATGTTAAATCTGTATAATGGGTATATGTGTGTGCACATAAAATTTTCTGTATTTTTCAATATTTTTGAAGTATTTCACAGTTAAAAAATTAAACAATGTAAAGAACTTTTTTTTTTTATCAGGATCTAGCAAGGAAGAGAAAACATAATTATTGTTAGTGAATGGAGATGAGTCCTCAAATTTAAGAAGGTATGCCAAAGCAAGCAGCAATGGGGGTGGGGGCTGGACGGCTGTCCAGTGTGAGAGCCAGTAGGAGTTGTGTGACCAAGAGGAGAAGCATAATCCAAGGGACCAAAGTATCCAGGCAGGCTGGAGCCATACAATGTTGCATCTTCAGCTGGGATTGGGAGAAGGCTTTCTGTCAGGCTGCCTCTGTGGCCCCCGCTCCCAACCGCTGTGCCATAGCTCCTCACATTTTAATTTAACCCCATTTTTGTTAGAGATGCTATGTATAAACATGTATATTGGTATGCCTGTGCTGAAAAACATGGTTCAAAATTAGAGAATTAGGGAAAAGTTTTCTTTGGTTTTTCTTTTGTTACCTGAATTAAAAAAATTATTCTAGAATAAAAGAAAATAAAAGAAATAAAAAGAAATAAAAGCCAGCCCAAAATGTAGAAGGCGAACCAGGGAGAAGTATGTAATGGAAATTAAGGGATGGATATTTTTGATTGCATAAAAATATTATATAGTTGTTTAAATGATGCTTTTAAAGTATTTAAAATAATTAGAGATTTTATTGACATTCAGAGTAAAATGCAACCTACTAAATTAAAATATTAATAATATTTCTGAATTTGGGGATTATGGCTCCCCAAAAAGAGAATGGATTTACCAAACCGATCATGTACAATGCCAAAAGGAAAGCCACAATAATTTCAAAATGATCTACACAGTGTATATTATAGTTTATGATTATATTTCAGTCATTTTTCTTTAAAAAAATAAAAGAACTTCCTTTAAAATCCAACAAAATTTATTATAGGATACATTTTAAACAAGTCTCAGAAACTTAGTAAAAGTTGATTTCTCATCAGATCATGGAGGTAAAAAAAATAGAAGAGACAGAGACTCAGTGAAAGTGACTAATTTTGTGACACTCTCAAATGTTGCCACTTAATCTTTTAATATATAAAAGGGAGCACTTTTCTCTTTGTCTTATGGTTCATCTGTATCGGAACCCAACAGATTTGAACCAGATGCAGGGGACTGAGACTGAGGCCCTGGCAGGTAAGACTTGTGTCAGGAAAACTCATGGTTTATGCTGGTAGTTTCAGAATAATTACTAATCGCATCCCCTTTTATTCTAAAAAGAGTCTCAGTTTGAATGATCAATTGTATGAGCACCCCAAGTATAAACACCAGTGTATTCACATAATAAATGAGTCAGCAGCATCCTCTGTGATTGAACATTTCAGTTACATGGTGGAAAACTGGAAGAACTTAACCCACTTAGGAAAGAGAAAAAATGGGGTTGTAATTCTGAGACCCCAGAAACCCCTAAACAGAAACACTGGTCCCACCTTTCCAAACTCCTGCGGCATTTACACAGAGTCTCTTTCTAACGTCATTTTGATTAGTCCTTTCAGTAACACTATCGGATTAAATAGTGGGTATTGTGATGACAGGAGGCGGCATGGAAGATGGATTGACAAGGTAGAGAAATTTTCCCATTTCATATCAGGGCAAATGCCAAGCAGTATTTTCAAATAACCTAATTAAAATATTAAAATATTAATTATTCTTATCTTAGAGGTATTTCAAATACCCTCTGTGCAGTTGTTTTAACAATACGCACAAAAATCATTGGGTAATTTATAATGTGTGTTTAAGGTTACAAAAGCTGTTTATTTAGCTTTACGACTACATCGGCTCACAGTTCTGTAATAATGAACTCAAACCTAAATTATTTTGGATATTTCTTGGCATTTGTGTCAGCTTAGATAATTCCTTATAACTATTAATGTTCACCAGCAATTAGCAAAAAACTAGACTATTCTCATCATTAAAAAAATACCATGGTCAGAACAGGGTTCTGTCTTTATGAATAGACTTCTGTTTTCCTAAACAATCCCCGAAGTCTAATTATAGAATTGTGGTATTTAAATCAAAGTCTCTGACATATCTTACTTCTTTAATCATTATTCATGTTTGATGAGTAAGTCCAAACCTTCTTATTAGAAATTTCTGACAGTCAAGATAGGTAACAAGTATAATTCATAAATGGTATGCAAAATTTTTCTGTAAAAACCATTACAGGCTAATAATGATATTAGAAACTGGTGTTTTCCCTGCAATATGACTCACTGAAATCAGTTTTGATCATAATTTCCCACTTTTGCCTGTCTGTGGGCAAAAGGGGCAAATCTGCCCTGTTCACGCATTTGTTACGTTCCTTCTGGAAGGTATTGATGACTTTCAAAAGCTTCCTCTTCCACCCAGTGAATCCACTTCCACAAACTTGTAGAGAAATAATTGGGGATCTATGCCCAAAGGTAAGTGCAGGGATGGTTTATAAGAGCAACAAATAAATAAAAACAAAATAAATAATTTTACCTATCTATCACTATCTAATAGTAGGGGGTTAGATAAATATATTCTTGGTAACCTATAATACTAGGTAACCATTAAAAACCATGATACAGACCTATATTTATAGAGATGGGCAGATGTTCATTATATGCTGGTGCATGAAACAAGCATATTATCAAACCGTGTACATAGGTGTTAAATGGTTAACACACATTGAGTGTTTGTTATTTTCTAAGACTTCATCTGCATCATAACGTGTAATCTGTACTGCTAACAAGTAGCATGGCTATTATTTCCATTTGATAGGGGGGGATTTGAGGTACAGAGAGGTTAGGTCACTTGGAGGAGGAGCTCTGCTAGTAAGTGGTAGAGGCAGGAGTCAAACTCAAGCATATGGTTCTCTGGTTCCTGCTCCTAACCACCATGAAATAACTGCCTCCTGTATTTATTCAGTACTATTTTCCATAGACACTGTATATGCATGCATGCCTTTACATGTTTTGGGTTTTGTTTTGTTTTGTTTTTAGAAAAACATGATTGCTCCTGGATTATGGAATTATGGGATACTTTTCTATCTTTATACTTGAAATTTGAAAAATATTCTAGGGGTGCCTGGGTAGCTCAGTCAGTTAAGCATTCAGTCTTGATTTCAGCTCAGGTCATGATCCCAGGGTCATGACTCCACGCTAAATATGAAGCCTGCTTGGGATTCTCTTTCCCTCTGCCCCACTCATGCTCTCTCTCTCTCTCTCAAAAAAAAAAAAGTTATTCTAGAATAAACATGTACTACACGTGCAATAAAATTTGAAAAAAAGCATCAGAAACTTATGAGTGACTAATTTTGTGATATTTTCAAATGTTTCTAAAAATTTTTTAAAAGCTGTGTGTATACATCTACAAACATATTTAACCTATAAAGGAGAAGTAAGAGGAGAGTTTAGGTGATAGGTAAAACCCAAGATCCAGCCTTTTAGCATAACTCTTTGACATATTATTGTCTTATACTGTTAGTTAATATGTGTGTGCTTTTGCTTTTCCAACTAAATTTAAGTTCTTTGTCATGTAAGAGAAGGCCTATGTACCTGTGCATACTGACTGACAGGTGAGATTTTGTTTAATTAATAAAGGACTTAGGGGCGCTTGGGTGGCTCAGTCGGTTGAGTGTCTGACTTCAGCTCAGGTCATGATCTCACAGTCCGTGGGTTCGAGCCCTGCGTCAGGCTCTGTGCTAACAGCTCAGAGCCTGGAGCCTGCTTTGGATTCTGTGTTTCCCTCTCTCTCTGCCCCTCCCCTGCTCATGCTATGCTTCTCTCTGTCTCAAAAATAAATAAAACATTAAAAAAATTGAAAAAATTAATAAAGGACTTATTCATTAATAGAAGCTGAATAGCTAAGATCTCCAGCAGAGCAGGAATCTGTACGTAAGTTTAGAAGTCTCCCAGATCCACTTTTAGAGCTGCAAATTCTCCGGGGTCCCTTGCTGGGGCCTCAATTCCTCTTCTCCAAGGGAGAGAAAATAAAGAATATATGCCCAGGTGCAAATGGAATGTCCCAGCAAACAGGTCACAATTCTGGGTGTGAGTCGGCACCATATTAATAAAAGAAAAAATATTTTTAAGGGACTTTTTATTTATTCAGAATATATTTTTGCATACCTGGACATAACTGTTAACAAATCATTTTAATTGCATTAATATCAGTGTGCATCATCCCCCTACTTACTCCTTATGAAGTTTTCTTCGTTCTCATCTGCAATACTTAGTAAAGCTCCTCCTTGCATCTGGCATGAAGAATGTGCCTCACTCCAGGAAAGAGAGGAAAGCAGGTTGAATTGGTAGCAAATGTGTGAATTGAGATCCTTCTCCCAGACAGCATCACAACCCACTTCTGCAGATGCTGAAAACAAAGTCCATTACAACATTAACTATAATCCTATTATATATAAACAACAAGGTATTTTTCTAAAATGAATTTGAATGGAATGATTCCAACTTCAACCTCTAAAACTTCAGTGCCTTATTGATTCTTCATTAGGTCTTTATGATGAAATATGCATTGTTATCCCACTGGCACTTCATGGTTCAACTCTTTCAAGATTTAAGGAAATTCAAGAAATTATCAATAAAGAAGGTCCAATCCCTTCTGGGAAAATAAGAGAAGGCATTTTTAAAAGGAGGAAATAGATGTGAAGTATTTGTGAAAATAACATCTGAGTTCCTTAAAAAGCAGTCATTTAGAGCTTTATACTGAAAGCATTTAAATGTTTATTTGAGACACATGCAAATGTTGTATCAAAAAGCCTTTTCCCCCAAATACCAAAATACTAGGTGGGATAAAAGAGATACAGAAATATGAGTCTGAAATGAACATAGTTTTTAAATGAACCCTGAGAACAGGAACACTGATACTCAATTTAAGATAAAATTCTTTCAGCCAAAAGGAAGAGAAGTAAAATCCACTTGTGAAACATTGCATAGTATGCTTAAAAGTAAATTTAATGAAGTGTGAAATGCGGATCTGAAATCTAAAGTTTATTGAAATAACAGAAAATAAAGACCTACTTTGGGTGATTTTGCTAAAATTTTAAATCAATCCCCAAGATGAACTACGCAGCCATAGTGATGACCTGAAATCAAATTCAGCCAAAGAATTTGAAGAAAATGTGGAAATGTAGAAAATGCAAAACATGTTACAGCATGAGTGTAACTGATGGACAGGCAATCTGCTAAAATCTAGAACATTATTTCCCAAAGTGTGATCCACAGAGTAATACAACTTCACAAGCTCTTTAAGAAGAGCTGGGACATAATGCATATATAAACTCCAAGTTCAAAATGTACGATAGCATAGAAAAGGCTCTGAGAAGGTCTGTAGTAAAGAAACAGCTCAATTTTAATTTGGTTATACCTCAAACTTACTTAACAATGAAATCTTTTTTGTTTGTTTCTTTTCTCCATAATACTTAGATGGTTCCCTTGGGAATGTGAAAATTTGTTTTCATGTCTGATTACAATGTGCTTTCCCCAGAACTGAGTTAGTTAAGTAGAAGTTATTAAACCACATATAACTCTAAAGCTGTCTATAGAGTTTTCTGACTGATACAATGAATTTATAGAAGGATCCATGATTGAAGGAGGGCAGAAGAGAAAGCTGTCATCAAGTAGGGGCAGAAGACAAAGCTATCATCAAGTAAAAATTAAGGAAAGGAGAAGAAAGGAAGGAGGAATATTTCAGTAATCATTCTTCTCTGGTGTCTGAAATTTCCCCATTGAGAATGGGTTTTTAGAGATTGTCTTCAGTTAGAATGTTAGATCATCCCTGAGATGAACAACACAGTAAGTGTTAATAGACATAATAATAGACATAAGCTCAGCCCTGTCCATCTGGTGTTCATCTCTCATGAGGCCATGAGAGAAGGGTAGGGGGTGGTGTCTACAGTTTCAATTTGCATAAAAATCATCTAGTAGCTTGTACAGAAAATGTAGGTTCCTTGTTCTCAGTCCCAGGGATTCTGAATTAGGTCTGAGGTGGGATTCAGGAACCTGCATTTTAAACATATTCCTGATTCTAATCCAGGTGGTTCACCACCAGCAAACACCAGTAAATATTGACTTGGAAGAAAAAAATTAAAGCACTTCCCAAGGAGTGCCTGCATGTCTGAGTAGCCCTTTACTACTAGAAGATAGTAGGATGTCAGAGGGGAGAGATGTAGGTAGAAGATACCAGAAGGGGAAATTGGGGGAGGATGTCAGGAAGAGAGATCTGGACATAGGGTACCTGCCTCTCATCTCCTGCCATATGGAAAGATTCGATAATAAATCCTAATTATAAGTCTTCAGGCCACAGCCATATCATGATATGTAAAGGTCTGAAGGACACTTCAATTGATCTCATTCCCATTTTTGCCAAGAGTTGGTCCTGCCCTTTCAATGGACATAGACTGAGCTGTGTAGACACAGCTTTTTGCAGTAACCTGCATCAGTTCCATACATTGCACAGTTGAGATGGAAGGCTTACAGGTGATCCTGTCTCTGCTGCAAATTACACAGCCCAGTTTTGTTAGATTGTCCTTGGTTTGGATTATCTGTGCCAATTCTTATGGTTAATCAAAAGGAAACTTCCAGTCACAAGTTTGCAACAGATGCCTATATTCTTCTAACAAGTAAGTTCATTTGTCATTGAATTTTTTTATGTTGATTTTTTTTTTGAGAGGGAGGAGGGGCAGAGAGAGAGGGGGACAGAGCATCTGAAACAGGCTCTGTGCTGACAGCAGAAAGCCCAATGTAGGGCTCAGACTCATGAACCTTGAACTCATGAACCAGGAGATCATGACCTGAAAGGAAACCAAAGTCGGATGCTTAATTGACTAAGCCACCCAGGTGTCCCTGACATTTGGTTTTAACTAAAATATTAAGAATTTGTACTTCTGTGCAGTCAGACACAAGTCTTCTCTCTTCTTCTCTAGGTAGACTGTGTGTCACTCCACGGATCTTATTTGAAGGTTGTATGATAACAAATGGGATGAAAGTGCTACCCTGGGCCTGGGCACTGGGATGTGCTGTCCTGATTTCCCTTCAGGATCGAAGGCCTTATTTCTGCAGCTGTCAGCAGACACATTCCAGTATTAATTAGACCTTTTTCAAGGACTGCCTTTGCAGAAGTCACTTTCCCCAATATCTCCTTTTCCAAAGGCGGCCTGCAAACTATGACTGGCCCGTGCAAGGCTATAGGTCCCTCCTCTCACCTCAACTGGGAGTAATTCCAGCCTGAGAACTTCTCATAGAGTCAGTCTAGGGGTCACCAGGCCTGCATCACAGTCCTGCACAATGCTACTTTCTTCCCTTGTTTTCCACATGTATTGATCCTGAGAACATTTCCCGAGAGACCTGCTGTTCATCTCTGCCTCAGACACTGCTTCCCAGGAACCCACTTGGCATAAGCTCCCATCTTGGCCTGGAGCATTAACATTTACTTATTCTTATTTTTCTTGCTTCTTCGTACATAGTCTCTCTTCCCAAGCCACTGAAAATCGCAAGATTGAAGGCTGGTGTCTCAGGTGCATTTAATTATTCTTGAAAAATTCTAAGGGCTGGAATCATATTGTTATTTTTCTTTGCATCTATGGTTGTCTTTATACTGTTTCTTCTGTCACTAAATTATGAGCTCCTTAAGGAAAGCAACTGTGTCCTATATATCTTTGTATCTCCTACTATTTGATGAAAGAGTACAAAATATTTTTGCACCATGTTATAAATAGGTGATTCTCCCCTTCCCCCAAGTATACCTCTCTTCTAATGAACTGAAGTCTATTCATGTCAACGCTGATTTTATTATGGATTTTGACTGGGATGCAGCCATTCCTTTCCTCTGTTAACATGGCTGTTTTTTCTTCCCTAAGGATACAGCCTTGCCATTGTCCCAAGTCAACTGTGTCTTGCCACTTTAAAAAATTTTTGAGTTCTTCAAAAAAATTAATTCTCATATTATTAGAGCAACTCCAAGCTATAAAGTTATTATTTTCTCTCTCTTTTGTCTTTATTATTATTATTATTTTAAAATATTTATTTACTTTTGAGAGAGAGAGTGCAAGCAGGGGAGGAGCACAGAGAGAGAGAGAGGGAGACACAGAATCCGAAGCAGGCTCCAGGCTCTGAGCTGTCAGCACAGAGCTCAACACAGGGCTCAAGCTCACAAACTGTGAGATCATGACCTGAGCTGAAGTCGGACACTCAACCAACTGAGCCACCCAGGCGCCCCTAGGCTTTCATTTACTCATCATATAGTTGGTGGATATCTGCTCTCTGCAAAGTGTTGGTAAATCTCATGTAAAAAGAATATCAGACCAAGTCAGGACCTCCTGCTGTACATTCCCAATGCCTTACAAGGCTTCTTGGTAGCCCTGATCACAACTGAAATTAAATGGTGTATTTAATTTTTCTCATTAGTTCTCTGTTTTTCCTGATAAAATGTAAGTATCAGGAAAGTAGGTACCATGTTCCATCTTTTTCATGCTATTTCCCAAGCATACCCATCTGCATTTAAAGGGAATTGGGTAGAGGAGAATATACTATCAAAGGAAGCTGAGAAATGGTGGCCACAAAAGAAAGAAGAGAGCTAGTAGATGTGGGTCCTGGAAGCCCGAGAAAAGAGATGGTGTGAATTTTGTTACATGTTGCTAAATCTTTTTTTTTTTTTAATTTTTTTTTAAACGTTTATTTATTTTGGGGACAGAGAGAGACAGAGCACGAACAGGGGAGGGGCAGAGAGAGAGGGAGACACAGAATCGGAAGCAGGCTCCAGGCTCTGAGCCATCAGCCCAGAGCCAGATGCGGGGCTCGAACTCACGAACCGTGAGATCGTGACCTGACCTGAAGTTGGACGCTTAACCAACTGAGCCACCCAGGCGCCCCAGACATGTTGCTAAATCTTTAAGTTAAGGACTGAGTCCATAAGTGAGCATGGAGCACTGTTTCAACAGAGGAGCCCAATCATTTGCCTTCTTTATGCCTGCACCCAACAGGGGAGCACAGAAAAGTCATTCCGATCATTTGATTATCAACCACCCTCAATACTTCCTGGAAGTGCTGCTAGTTTTCTCTAGTAAGCTTGCTCTCCAGCAGCCTCATTTCACACTTTTTCTGTTGTCCAAACTTTTTGTTCCTTCTTCCCCTTCTTCAGAGAGAAAGTCTACAGCCACTGGACCAGTTTCTCCTCATCTTCTCCTATGACCTAATCAATCAAACTTCTTGGACCTGTACCACCCTCTCCCTCTTGAGAAATTGTCCTTACATCTATGCAAGGCCAGTCTGTCCATCTATGTTCTAGATCCTACTTCCTCTGTCTTCTGAGAGATCATATATACACAGTCAATTGCTTTCACTTTGCTGTATCTTCAA